TGAGAGCCAACGGCAAAAGACTGAGGAGGAAGAAAAGAGGAGGAAGGGGAGCAGCACTCAAGCGGGCAACCCAGAATAAACATGAGGGTCTCCTCCTCTCTCCCATTAACCCTTTTCCATCTCATCAACGCTGACTGAGGGTCCCCGAGCAGCAGAAGGTTTTATACATGTGTGCCAAACCCTTCAGTCATGAGTGTGTGTGTGTGTGTGTGTGTGTGTGTGTGTGTGTGTGTGTGTGTGTGTGTGTGTAGCCTATAAAAGGACAAGAGACTTTAACAATCCCTGACATGCTCCACAGGAAAGGGTTCTACACTGTTACCAAGGTTACAAGAAGCCGGCCCCACATGCTATCCTTTCTGTATCAGGGATAAACACTGCGTGCCCCCTCTTCTTCCCCCACATTCCTCATCGCTGTGCTTCCATCTGTCTCATACTCTTCTTACTTTCCTGACACACTTTTCTCCTCCGGTCCATCAACCTATTGATAGATGGTCTCTCCTATCATTAGACCACTTCGTGCTTCCTTCCATTTACACATCCATCTATTTCCAGTGTAATTCTTCTGCTGTTTATTTAGAGCTCCTCCTAGCATGAGGGACTGAGGCTATTAGCAAATCAATCTGCTCAAGGAAGGAAATGACTAACCCCCCCCTTCTCCAATCGCAAACAGGCATGCACTGCATGTGCATCTACAGTAGCTCATAAATACACACAATTCCTAATATACACACAGTCACTCAAGACTGATCCATTGCTTAGCAACACAGCCATGGTCTTATTGTAATTCAAGGCTTGTTTGTAGCTTTTAGCTGCGCTCTGTAATGACATGTTTAATGCAGAGAGGGGGGGGAAGGAGTGGAGAAAGAGTAGAGGGCCCAGAGGTGGGACAAGGGGGGAGTACCTCTACAAAACCCTTTTCTGAAAGGAAAGAAGGGTGGGGAGGCAGAGAGATATTCAACTCAATGAAAAGAGCAAGAGAGAGAGTGAGGCCGAGCTGTGGGAAGACAGAAAGAGCTCAATGACACACGGTGCTGAGAAAGAAACAGAAACAAGGAGATGGAGCGGGAGCACTGGAGCTGAATGACCTTGACGTCCAAGAATGGAGTGTAGTATGGCAGGAATTGCTATGCAGCCAGCAGAGAGCCATTCAACAAAATACACCCTATGACATAATTAGTCAAATTGTGGGGGAAAAAAGTTGTTTTTAACCATTCAAATCACGTTACACGCATGAACACCTCAGTGTCAAACAGTTGACTGAGGAAATATGACTTTGAGGCGGGAGAAAATGAATCGTCTATTATTCATAGAAACCAAAATGAGGAATCATTTGCTCTTGGTTCATTTAACTGAAGGGATCTGTGTTCCCTGCAGAACAATTCAGAGAGAAGCCACAGTGGAGGGTTGAAAGCAGAAGCACGAGCAAATACATTTGAACAATGTTCTAAGTACACTTGATTTAACTTGCCAGTAACTTTAAAATATTGTGTAATCAGTTCAGTGAATGTGACTCCTGGAAGTATTTTAAAACCCACACTGAGTGCAAATTGCACTGAGATTTGTACGTCTATCAGTCACCAGGAAAAGAAAAAAAAAAAAGGAGTTTTTAGCTGAAGAAGACCAAAGAAGTACTGACCTTTAATAGCGGTTTGCAGCAGGGGTCTCTGTGTGTCTGAGCTTCCACTCGTCTGTTTACTGGTGGCCCCGCTGTCTCTCTGCCGAGCCACAGCAACAGCGATCCCAACCGGAGGGTGGCGCACCTCGCCCTCACCTTCCCGGCCAAAGGAGCGGGCACTGTCGGGTCGTTCCTGTTCTCTCTTCAGCTGAGGCATCCTTAATGTTCCTGAACCACCGGAGCCAACTGCTATCCTATCCCTCTCCCTTTCTCGCTCTCTCTCTTTCTCCCTCTCCTTTTCCCTCTCCACTTCCATCCCAATGTTCCCCAATCCACCAAAGGGCCCTCTGCCGTCCGTGATGTTCCTGGAGGAACCAGGGCCTTCAGCAGCAAAGTTTCCACTGTATTTGATCAGGCTCTGCATGGCCGAAACCTCTTTAGAATCCGAACCCAATCCTCCACCACGCTCTCCACCGCTGGAACCCCCTGGTCGGTAGAGCGCCGATGGGTCCAGGTAGCGTCTCTGACTACCCTCTTCGCTTGCACGCCCGTGTCCGTGCTGGGAGGAGTGTGTTTGGGGGGAATGGCTGTGGGTCGATTGTGTGTTGCTGTTGTGTCGATGGGATGTGTGAGGGGACTGTGACATTCGCGTGTGTGTCTGCTGGCTGTGGGGAGAAGAAAGCGTGTGTTGGGCTGCCAGAGCAGCCATGTGACTTGTAGCGTATTTGGTCACCGGACTGATAGGATTCCACTTGGGCTCTGCCGCAGATCGCTCTATGCCTAATCTGTTTGAGTGTTTAGAGATGTCCCTGGTTTCTGGGCTGAACCTTGATTGAATGGAGGAGAGGGATGCGTCCTGGTTTCGTTTACCAACAGAACCATTGGAACAAATCACAGAACCTTCCTCTCTTTGATTGCTTAAATCGCCTGAGTGGGAGAGCCGAGGATGCTCCATGACGATCTTCTCATGAAACCTGTAGCTCTCCCTCTCTCTGTCTCTGTCCCGTTCATGCTCCACGTCTCTGTCACGCTCCCGTTCTCGGTCTCTGTGTTTGTTGTCGCGCGCTTGTGATGCTATCTGGATCGGCCCCGTCTGCTCATCATAAACCTCCACAGAAGGCACATACGTAGGTGCGCTTATTCGTTGCTCCCTGACAGACTCTCTGGCTGTGGAAAGGTGGGGCGCACCAGCTGCTGAGGACTGGAGAGCAGGAGGGAGGACATAGGATATGTGGAGGGTTCCAGCTGACGTGGCTACAGAGTCATTCCTCCTATGTCTCTCTGAATGAGGGTTTGAGTTATTCGCATTAGCATTAGAGTTATGGTGGAGTCGAGAGCTGCTATCCTCGTCCCGACTCCCTCTGTCCGGTTCTGGTCCATGAAACCTGCCTGTTCCTCCACCCCCACCAGGAGGGAAGGAGGTCTGTGGAGATGACAGCCTGGATCTGGGCTCCACTGTGGAAGGCTGGGAGTGTGACTTTTGCTGGTGTAGATGGAAGGACCAACCATCTCTGTCTCTTTCTGCGTCCCGGTCCTTTTCCTTCTCTCGTTCCCGTTCCCTGCCCACCCTGCGGTCCTCCTCACCTCTCCCGTCCTGTGTCAGGTCCACCACGCTCTGCGGCCGCTGCTCCTCTCTTGAACGTTCCCGCTCCCTTTCCCTGTCTCTATCCCTCTCTCCCCGATAAGACCTTTCCCTCACCCCTTCCCGGGATGTCCTCTGTGGGGGTGTGGAGCTGGACGGGGTATTGGAGGCAGCAGACGGGGGATGGAGAGGTGACTGCCTCAGGGAGGATGGCAGGTAATATCCCTCTAGAAACACAACATAACACACAAGTCAGACAACACAAACAACCACACTGCATGCTGACAGATGATGAAACAGATGAAGGCAGGGTACAGCAGCATCCTGCAGCACTCAAGCAGAGGTGAAAAATAATAATAAATATTTATGTGTTAACTTGCCAAGAAAACGTAACAATGCAACAGACTTATAGTAGATCGGCAACAGCCGAATGACAGAAGAGATATACATTATAGTGTGAAAATGACAAAGGAATCAGGGCTAAATCTGGTGTTGTATTTCTGGCCAGGGCCCACAACTAAATAGGCTTTCACACTATAATAAAAAAGGTTTAGCACAAAACCTACTGCTGCTGATGTATCACAGGATAAAGCAGAATATGTACAATAAATTCAGGCAACTGGTCTTTGTGAATGTTATCGACGACAGATACTGACCTTTATGAGAATCATAGAGAGGGTGCTGGGAGAGCGAGGGAGGCTCAAGGTGCCCCAGGTGCCCCAAGTAAGGGCTGGAGTACAGGCTGCTTGGAAGAGGGGGGTAGCCTGAAGACACAGAATGCAGGTTATAGAAATGACACTGAAAACACCAGAAAAGTCCAGTAAAATAGTGTATAACTATAAAAGGTAATTTTGTTAGCTTATCCTCTGAACGTCAGTCTAGTTGACTCATGGCAGAGGCTGATATTTATCTGTTGTGTCACTTCCACTTTGCACCGGCTAAATGTTCAGTAATGGCATTCATCTTCTTTACAATGAAGATTTTTAGGGTCAATGATTGGCCAAATTCTCATTCTAACCCATCAGGTAGAAATTTCTCAACACTTGCATGCTGACTGCTCTGATTAGTCAACTTTGAATCTATTAGTTGACCTGCAGATAATCAGTCTTTGACTGTTTGATAATTCGTTAACAGTTACAGTCATTTTATTGTAAAATCTGAGACCTTTGGGTTTTGGACTGTAACCCTGGACTCTGAGACGTTACAGTCAGCTGGTCTGAAGCAATACCATGTATGAGGAAATCACAAGGAGGCATTTCAGATCATTACATCATTCTTTCTTCCTCTTAGTCATGCATTCAATGACTCTTGCTTTGATGTTTAAACATTTCAGACTGTTTAAAATGGTGTTTGTTTAACTTGTAATGATTGAGTTACTGTGTAATGAGAGCAGTTTCTACAATTTTATCCACTTAACTTATAATCAGTAATCAGCTGACATAAGGATTGGAGCTACCTTTGTTTTCTAATGCTCCAACTTTTCAAAGTGATTCCTTTAATATCTGCTGACTTTTAGAGAAAATGAAATCAGAACGTACACATGAGAGGGTGAAATTAAACTACACGTGCATGTATTTATTTCGACACTCAGTTAAGTGGCTGATCCGTTTTCTTTTTGTCCACTGAATTAAATAATCAACTTCAGCCCCAAGAGATTTAACCACACTATCAATTGTGACTCAGTTTCTTTTTTTCTTTATAAAACATTTACAGCTGAGCTCATGTCATATATCACTATTTGTGGGTCAGCCTGGGTTGCTGGGCAAGAGTCTCCCGACAGCCAACTGCTGCTCTCAGAGACCAGATCTTAATATAGACAAAGGTTTGTGTTTGGCTTTCTGTGTTAGGACTGAGCTGGCTGGTGTCACCACGTTAGGCCATAAGCAGAGGAAAAAGAAGAAGAAAAAAAGGAGGGTGAGGCATTCCTTGTTCCCACACTCCAGCCATTCCAAGAAGCATTAAAGACGCAGTTGCCATTCCAGCACAAAAGCAACGGCAGCAGCGCAGAGGTATAAATGGGTTTCCCCTCGTTCTGAGATGCAGAAACGGAGAAGCTGAGGAGGTGGGTGTTAAGGGGTGTCAGCATTAGAAGAAGGCACTGGGAGACAGAAATATAAGAGGCATGATGGAATGAGGGTAACAGCATGCAGGATGGGTTTCTTGCAAAGCTCCCTTTAACCACAGTTAACAGCTAGCCTTGATCTTTAACAGCTTTGATTTGTGGTTCAGCTGTAGCAGTACAGTGCATCCCAGGCATATCCAAAGTCTGCCTCTTAGCTGCTGCCCAGAATCGTCTCCAGCTTAGAGTAACTTTAGCTGCTATCAAAGCCAGCCACCAGGTATTAGGAATCTCTCTTAGCCCGTGAAGGATTCTGTTCAGGAGTCTTCTTCACCAAGCAGAGGGTTTAGCTTTTTTAGCTTTAGAGACTTCAACCTTAAATCCAGTCAAACCTAAGTCAAATGTCAAAGTTTATCCACCCTTTATATTTCCTTCTCTGGCTGAATATAAAGTGAAAGAGGTTACATCTTTTAAATTTAGATTTATAATTAGACATTTACAATGAGCAATTAGTAGCACTATTCCCACACAGGAGATCTAATCACAACCCTGAAGGAACAGTTTCACATACAGCCAGCAAGCTCCATTTTACCTCACATTTCCACACTGGGCACCTCTAAGACTACCCATATTAGTGCTCTCATATCCACTCTCACTGACATCATACAGTGTTTAGTCTAAGGCCTGAGCTTTTGACCCACAAGGATTACTTGCACATACACTAACCTCATTATTTTAAACTGTGGCCATGTTTAATGTGAGCATCCACCACTGTAATAGCATATGGAAAAAGGAAAAGCACAAGAGGTCTACTGTAAAAACAGCTTTTTTCCCCATTTGTTTTTGATAGGAAATGACACTTGGCCATTAGAAGGAAACAAGCAGAGTCTCCAAAAAGCTAAGGTCAGATTATGAGCTACAATCATGTCAGTGCCTGACCAACAGTCCCTGAACTGAGAAACAAAGACAAAATCTTAAAATAAATAAACTAACCACATAATTTGATTTACAATGTTTGAAAAGCACTGAGCAAGCCGTGCGTCACACAGGCAACGCAATCACTTTTAAAAGGCATCTTAAATGAAATCCATTTGTCCTTCTCTCTTACCTTGCTGAAATGCACTGTGGGGTTTGTTTTCTACCCTATCTGACCTACTCCAGTGAGATTTGATAAGGAGTTGCAAAAGGACACAAGGGAATGAGGAGGCGACCGAGATTCAATCACTTAATGAACAAGCCTTGAGGAAAGGCACAGGCAAGTTAAGGAAACGAGGAGTCCAAGGAGACAACCCTCCGTGTGCCTAAAAGTGTGTTCGAGCGGGATGGTGTATGAAAAGTAGGGCAGGAGAACTAGAGAGACGCCGACAGAGACAAAGTGCGTACTGGACAGAAGGCTCAAAAAAGAACAAGAGAGAGGAAGACAGATTACAGAAACAGATGACAGGCGAAAGTAAAGGACTGGTCGAGGACAGAGGAACCAAGGCACATTCAGGACAGAGCCAGCAGCAGAGCTACCAGCCGTGAGACAGAAATGGAACAGGATCCCAGTGGAGTAAGCAATGAGGAACAGGCCTCCTGGGCATTGGTCAGGACAGGATTGTGAAAAATGCCATGAAAATATGATGCCACTCTGCCTTTGAATTATGTACTGGGACAGAAAAGGAGGATAGAAACAGAAATGCAAATGTAGGTGATTTACCATCATGAGCATGCGATGCCCACAGCTGAGCCATCTGCAGACTGCTGGGATTTGCGGATCTGTATGCAGGGTCAGAGGTCAGAGAGGAGGGGCCTGGATAGCCTGACAGGAATGGGCTGGAGCCTGCCGGGAAGGCATCGCCTATAGGAAAAAGAATGAAGACTGTCAGTCACCCTTGTAACCGCGAGGCCAAACAACACAAACAGTCAATGTTTTTTATTCTGTACGTGATGTCATTCCTTCCTGTGTGTGTTTTTGGGTGAGGGGAGCTAAATCAATATGTGCTGATGTTACTGTGCCCGAGCAGTCTGCTGTAATCACATTATTACTGAGCAGCCATGCACTCCATTTCAACAAGACAGACCACAGACAGACTTCACTCAGAAAGGAGGGAAGTTAATGTAACCACCAACCAAAAGCCACAATCGTCACAAGAGGAATGCAGCTATATGGGGCACGAGGAGGAGTGCGTCTGTGTTCAGGATGGGACAGGGATTTGTCAGATAGAGCTCTGGATTACATGCTGACAGCTTTTATGAGACAAATCTGACCAAGTAAAAATGTACTCAACCTTATAAACAACTCAGACAAAATCTTTTCCATTATTTAAAAAATATAATTAAAAGCAAATGAATTTCAGCATTAGGCCAAAGATGTATATGTAATATAAATTACACACACACACTGCAAAAATACCCAACACCTTAACTGTTTGTTACAGCTTGAGCTCAACCTGTTAATCACAACAACGATTCATGGAAATTAACAGTTAGCTTGATTACACAATGCTATAAATATTTTTTTAAAAAGGGTAGTAACACATAACAGTGAAATATTTTTAGAAATATGCTGACGATTACTGAAACCTGAAATGTGTTTTCAGAAACACAAATATAGAAGGAAAAAAAAAAGCGCACATATTCAGTTTTTCTTGATGTATTTTCTTTTAAATTTGCTGTAGCTTTGCACCCGATGCACCGTTCCTGGTAACAAGTCACATTTTGTGTCATCGCAAAACTGAAAGCGCTTCCCTTTACAAAGATATGGCAGCAAAATCTAATGTTGGAGGGAATCAAACTGATAATGTGTACCTTTTTATTTAAATCTTCGCTTCACTATGAGACAAAACACAATAAAAATAGCTGAAAATGACTTTTTAGCTGACCAGATTATTCCTGCACTGGCCACTGTGCATTAGACTGACATAAATCAAGAGGTCACAGGAGCGTTTATCAGAAAAATGCCTGCTGCATAATATAATATATAACAGTTAATGTTTAGAGTTTCCCCATACATTTATAAAGGTGTTATTAATAAAACCACAATATAAGTAATATTCAGGGTGTTTGGGTCGTACAAGGTGTCAGAGGAAACACTCTTGAAGCCAACCACTACACACCACAGCATCCAGTTCCATGGAGAGCGTGAATCCCCGTAAATCACTTCATATCTTAACACGATACGGTTATCGATCGTTTTTATTAGACTCCACCCTCATCACATGTGCAATCTGTCCACCGGCAAACTTTGAACCATTACAGCTTCTTCCAAGCGCAACCTTCTGAAGAGCTGGAAAAGGTTTCATGTTTAGCCAAGGACCCCCAGATCCCCCCTTCCTGAACCATTACTGAACACACTCCACGGCCATTACCCTGATAAAACTAACCATGTGTGTAGGGGAAAGGGTGCTGCCTGTATACGGGCAGGAGGGGGGAGGGAATGAATGTGTGTGTTTCTGTATTAGTCCTGTGGGAATCCAAGAGACATGCTGTGCTTGCCGAGTTTCCCCTGCATCTAAATCAGTACATTAAAACTGCAGTCCGTCAGCAGCCACACACACACACACACACACACGCACACACACGCACACACACGCACACACACAATTTTAAATCAATACCAAATGCAGCTTTCCAATCTATCGCAAAGGCGTGCATGCAAACACATACAGAAGTAATGCACTGTGCCTTTATTCTCTCACTGTGATAACACTGTGTAGGTGGATTCTTCCACACTCTGCCTTATTAGACACAGTTTTTATTAACGCTCGCATTTAAACGTGTGTGTGCGCGTGTGCTTAGAGTCCCTGCACCTCTTTGCCGTATGATCACCAACATGTGCAAACAGTTATGTGTGGGTTTGCAGTGAATGCGCTTTTGATTCAAAAACACTGCACAAGCTGTACACACACACACACACCCGTGGACCTGCATTTACAAATTCACACATGCACACCAAACCCACCCACCCACACACACACGTTAACTCTGAAAAGCAGCAATGAGGTTTTACCCAGAAATGGCACAATTTTCCATCTGTGCAGTTTTGCAGTATCATCTATGCACTGATGTCAATATTAATATTAAACAACAACACAAACCTCACTTTCCTTCTGCTTTCAACTGTGTTTATAATTCACAATATTTTAGGTGTGCGCTTTCTTTCCTTGAAGTTGTGATGTTCACGATTAAAGCCCTGCTCTCCCCGTGGTTAACATGACAGCAAACATGTCACTCACTTTTTTATGAAATACTAATAGAGGAGCAACTGCTGCATGTGTGTAAAGTGGAGCCAAGCCCTCAAACAACACAGCCTTTATTCAGCAAGTCATGAACAGAAGGGGCCTGAAATGCTGTAAATAATGCTGAGTACTTTTATACTCTTTACCCAAGACATTGATTTGATTTGGGCTTACTCAATTATGACCAAATGCATAAATCCAATTTTGGGGTCAACACTAACATTATTATTATTAAAACATGATTATTCATCGACTTTGGAAACAGCACAAATTATGTAATCAAACATAATTTACAATTTAAAATAGGTCTTAATAATCATAAACCGCGGTTTAAGAAGGGGATGAGTTCTGGCTTTTAAGAAGGGGAAGTCACTGCTTTCTTGGAAAGGTGTGTCCTTGATTTATAACAAAAAACAGAATCCCTGGAATGGAAACCAGCAGCATCATTTTATCTTGATTATGTTGTTTTCAAAGATAGTAGTGCGATTTTGTCCTTCAGCTGACTAAATCAGTTCCATTCATCCTCTACAAACTTCAAAACTGATCTGCTGGAATAAAACAAAACAAAAACAACAAAAATAAAAAAGGACCACATCTTGTTTTGTAAACTCAAATTGGATGAATCGTCACAGTCAGTGCTCTGCGACCGGTATTTTAAAAAACAAACAAACAACAAAAACAACTGTTAGCTGCAATGTTTCCTGCAATCGCTTTACATGAAAGGTGAGCTGAAATGCTGTTGCTAAATTCACCACTGTAAATCGAAAAAGGCAAAGTTGCTCATCTATGAACTTAAAGCATATTTTGCAACATTTCCTGACGTGGACATTTCACAGTTCCTACTTTTTAGGAATAACCGCACTGTTTCGATGAAATTATTTGGCATTAGTTCAACTCTTGACACAAAGCCCGAATTGTTTCTACCACTTTCACTATTTTTTTTTTTTTAATTACTGCCACTTTTCAACACATCGGCGAGTGTCCATGTGTGTCGCACTAGGTGACAGCCATGTTGTTTTAACAAATTATCCTCACCTTTAAGCCACTTTTTAATCATTACCTCATGTGTAGGACGTGCAAAACATAGATGCACCCTTGATGAACACACACACACACAAAATACATTTCCAACCACCACCACCTGTCAAGGTTGTTGAAGTCCTGGTAGGATGTCAGCAGTTTCCATTTCTTCAGGCCAAACACCAGGGTCTCTCTAATACACAGACACGTCAAGAGGCACAGATGCCTCACTGGAGTATGGATCAATCTCGGCATTGTAGCCGCCTACAGGCCATTTATTCCATGTGTCTGAGTACACACGCACACATGTACACACACAGTCTACAGTTTTGCTTTGTGCTAGTGAGCAGGGAAAAAAAATACAATCCCAAAGTCCCTTTGCCCCTCCTGAACAGTCAAAAGCAGGAAAAAGTGGGAGGGGTAGAAAGAGGAAAAACATTTGCAGTCCTTGTTCCAGAAACAACATCCAAATGGTAGCTGAGAGGGAAATGTTTCCTTAAATGTTTTGGAATTACTCTTTCATTAGCTCCGTCTCTCTCTCACCCTCTCCCTCTTTTAACCTTTTCCTTCCTCTCTCCCTCCCTCTCTCTCCCTTCACAACTCCACCCCCCACCACACACACACAGCATTTGGCTCTCAGTTCACAAGACAGTTAGTTTGCCATATTGGGAGAAACGAGTTGCCAAGAAACGCGCTCTCTGACTCCCAACGCGTTTCTGAGCCTCCATTTTCAGATCAGTATAAGAAATATATCTTGATTTCAGAGATAGGAAGGAGATCAATTCTGTCGGACTCACTGCAAATCTGGCACAAAGGCGCACACATCCAAAGAAAAAAATATAAAATAAAAATCAGAGAAACTAACAAGTCAGTGTTGATCACAAATTGATCCAAATTCTCTGAAACACACACACACAAAATGTAACAATACTGGAAAATGTGCAAAAGAAAAAAAAGAGGACAAAATGAAAGAAAATCTCTGGTATAAAAGCCTGAGACAGACACACACACACACACACACACACACAGTCTGTTATCCATCAGTGGCACTCAGAGCAGGGTTAGCTGGGGGAGATCTCTATTGATCTCTGGTTTTTATTCCCTGCAAGAAAAACACTGAAACAGTAAAACTCTGCAGTGCTATACATCCCACAGCTAACTGACACACTGACACACTGGTAACCATTAACCCCAACTGTAAGAAACCCTCATTCACACTCACACACAGGCAAGGGATGTGCGGGAATTTGCATGTGCGTCCGTGAATTAATTCAGCCATGCGGTTTAAAGTGTGTTAATTATTTCAAAATGGAGATGTCTGGTTCTCCTCTGCTGGGAGCCGTTTACAGGAAACAGGTTTTGTTTGTGTTGTTTGCGCAGCTGAGCTGAATACAAACCGTTTCTCAACTTTAATTAAAAATGTCAAGTTCGAGTTCTGACACGTCAGCTCTTGGTTTGGCAAACCGAACTGCAACAAGGTGGCATCTGACTGGTTTCTCTCTTTGTCGTTTGATTGAATAAAGAAAAATGAAATAAGTTTGCAAAAAGAAATTCATTTTTAAACAAACAGAATCACTTGCACAGCTGCTTCCTCTGCTCA